CCTTTTATGCTCGGTGACATTATCTTCGTTTGCGACCTCTTGTCTCCTTTATTGTTTATAGAGTTCTCGGTCAATGAAAAGTGTTATCGTATTCAGCGCTTTCGCATGACATTAAACTTGCACTTATCGATACATAATCCCCACTACGACTTGAATTTCTGTCAGCAGCATCCTTGATTCTTTAATCAAAAGGTCGGATAATTTCACTTAGCGGACTACACTTCGTGTGGTCGACGGCACGGTCGAAGTTTCTACACTATTTTTGGTGCGATTCATTCACATGAGCTACCTTTTTTGATTCGGTGTGTAGTTAGGTAATAATTAAAACTAATGGACTTCAGGTATATCGCTATGAATTTAAATTAAGTCAATCTTTAGGAAAGGGCTGCTGATGTCGAAGTGGTCACGAAAGTGGTTGGGCCCTTAGTAGAGAAGTGTATGAAGACTCAATCAAGGAGAAGACCGTTTCATAGTTTTAATTTAAACACAACGATTATTACATAACTACAGACCTTCATCACTATACTTGCCCCTCATTGGCAGAATCGGACCTTCATCGGTTACATTTGGTCTCTCATAAATGTACCCGATTCTCCATTAAAAAACCTTGAATTTAAAGACCCTGATGATCCTCTTAGGTCACAAGAAGCGTCAGAGCATAAGTTAAGGATATATTAAGAAGTATAAGGATAGGATGATGTCCAATTATAATCGATTTACGATCCACGTGGTACGCCTTCATCTTGCGTTTAGAATTTTGTAAATTCTACTCGCCTGTTTGGGGGAAACGATTAGTTTTACACTCCGCTGAGGACAGTTGCGAGGTAAGACCTAAGTGCAGATGAAATTTGAGGAATTATTTTGCCTGTGGGATCGCCAAGTGGCAACATCCCACTCAATACCAGCTGTCGTACCTCCCTACATCCTACAACACGGTCAGCGAGCAAAGTAAAGACCAGGAGCGAAAAGCTACCTAAAGAACTTGGTCACAAGTCCACTCGTGACTGAGTCGTTCGAGTGGCCGCCTACCGTTCAATCAGTGAAGCATGTCCGCGTGAGGCCTAGGTATACATCATTCAAGACGGAAATTACTTTATCTCCATCCGAATTGAACGAAGAATGCAACCCGCCAGCCAATTTGTACACAAGGCGAGTCAAGGTTCATACGCGAAATCGGGTTACCCCCCGTAAGTCGACAGTCCGGCGTAGTGGGTGTTCTGACGGCTCAACACGCAGCTTTGAAAATCCGCACGACCACAATGGTGTGAGTGGCCGGATCTTAGAAGGACGCAGGATTCACCGCAAGTACCATGGGAAAGATAATTCTCAACTCAAGACTGACAAAAACCAAAAGACCGAAAAGACACTGGAAGACCGATCATGAGTGACGAAAGACAAAAAATGCAAAGGGTCGAAGGACCGAAGGACCGATGAATCCTGATAGGATATCGTTTAACATTTTCACGGTTGGAGATATCAAGGATGAACCTAAAAAAATAAGTACTCCCTTTATCATTTCAGAGGACACCATATCCATAATGCCCCATGGGATCAGCATCAGAAGGAAAAAGCCAAGATGCTAGGGTGTCCGAAACAACAACAAAACAAAAACTGCATCTTCTAGACCGATGGGAATGGAGGCTCCAGGCGATACCAAGTCGGACGATCTCGAGGCATCAAGTCCCGACTCCAAGTCTGCACACCCCGAAGGCTCAGATTCGCTAATTTAGTCGAAAACTGACATCACGATGACCTACTACAAACGTAATCCCAACAGTTTCTCGGACAGCAACCCTGTTACGAATTCTCTCGATATCCGACTTCTTGGACAGATGTGCGGACCACTTTTGCCCCTTCCAACGAACGGACGATTACAGGCCCGGTAATCGCATTAGTGACACTCCTTCGAATAGCATGACCACGGAGAAATCTGAGCTGCTAGAGGTGCTTGCCCTGGCCTTCGACAGCATCAAAACAACGTTGGGAAAGCTACACAAGCGTGTGAAATCCTTTTCGGGATAAACCCCACAGACGGACCTCATTCCCGCCGCAACGTGAACGAACCAAAGAAAAAGTCATAATACCCTACAAGACACCTAATTCCACACCCAAACACAAGCAGTGGCATGGTACCCACTGTCGACGGACCTGCCACTTCGAGGAACTCAGTCTCCGCGCGCCCAGCCTCAGCAGGGAACTCGTCACAAGGATCATCGTATTTCAGCCACGCCTACTGGTAACTACAGGTGCCGCGTTATTTCAGGACCGTGCGCGAGATGCGCCGACTGAACAGCTCGCTCGCGACTCGGGAAAAATCAAAAACAATACTGCATCTGATAGGCTAAAATTTTCTTAGCGACCAAGTCACCCCGAGATCTTAACACCGCCACGTCGCGAAGACGCTGGGGGGAGCACCTACCGGCCCGGTGGGCAATCTGCAGGCATACTTCGATACGGCAATAGAAATACGCCTGTAAGAACACAAAGTGCCGCTAACACGCCCCAACAGAGGTGATACGATATGTAGACGATAAACGCGACCTGCGACTTTTGGAAGCGGCCTGAGTGAAGAGGTCCAATCCCAGAGAAAATCACAATGTCGGATGTCGACTTAGAATCGGTTGGCTCGTTCGAATGCGATCCAGGTGACTTGGGGAAAATTTTAGCGAGAATGGACAATGCCACGATGAGACAAAGACCCAACACAGTCCATCGCATCGAGCTCTCCGCAACTTTGATCCTCTATGTAACGGGTCACCCTGAAGTTTGTACTGGTGACATTACAAGCTACTTATTCTGATGACAGAATAAGGCGGTGCCTCGGAACTTCACGTACACTCGTACGTGCAGAGGAAGACGGTAAGCAACGTACTTGGTTAAAGTGAATACTTAGAAGTGGATTTAGCATAGTTAAAATTTGGCAACTATATTTAGCACTAGTTAATGTCTGCAATAATTCACTCAGTTTTAACCTACATCTAACTATGTCTGAATACATAACTGTCTGCACTATCAGCACTATCTGCTCACCACTCATTGCGGGCGTGCGTCTGTCGCCTTCGTTGGTTGATATAATGGCCTATATCAATCAATTAGGAAACTACTCGTAAGTGCTGCAGAATTTGTTTCCCTATGACTAGGGAATATTCTGAGAATATAACTCTTATACCGTTATATTTCCTTATTAATCAATTTCTTATAAATTGTTATGTAACATCAACCCCCCTGGTACACTGAAGCTTCACCCCGTTTCAGTACAAGCTACTTATTCTGATGACAGAATAAGGCGGTGCCTCGGAACCTCACGTACACTCGTACGTGCAGAGGAAGACGGTAGAAGAAGCGAGTACTTGGTTAAAGTAAAAATTAGAATTGTATTTAGCATAGTTAATGTCTGTTAATAAATCACTATTTATCCTCATCTAACTATGTCTGAATACAAATATGCATATCAATTATCTGCTCACCACTCATTGCGTGCGTCTGTCGTGGCGCGTCTTCGTTGGTTGATATAATGGCCTATATCAACCAATTAGGAACTACTCGTATGTGCTGCAGAATTTGTCCCTATGACAATATTCTGAGAATATAACTCTTATTGTTGTATTCTATCAACAATTTCTTATAAATTGTTATGTAACGATTCACCCCGTTACATCACCCCCTTAACCATCAGTCACTTTAGTGACTGATTGACTAAATGGATACTCGTCCCAAATCATTTGGGACAGGGTTTGCACTTGTTGGTCCGAGTCCACTTTCCAACAATTCATCGCATGGTTAACACGACCATGCGGTGCGCGAGCAAGGCCGCCGAGAGCGCATCCGCACGTCTCTGTGCGGACGCCGAAGCAGAAACTGCAGCAACTGATGTCTCATCGGTTGCTGAAGCGACTCAGCCTGTGTCACATGGTGATGCAGGCGCTCGTCATGAAGACACTCATGTCTTCACAGAGTATGAGCTCGGTGTCTCATACTCTCCTGATACGGAAGACGATTCCGCATCGACAACGATCGAAACCAAGCCGCCTGCCAAGCGTGGCATGGATGATGCTTTGCGTCGTAGCATCTTTGGTTCATCTGATGAATCAGATGAACCATCGCCGAAGCGAAGGCGCTCGAGATCGCGAGACTCGGGCGCTAATAGTGGTGTCGGTTCTCCTATGGACACCACTACGCAACGAGGTGCCAGTACTTCTGTCGGCACATCGCAGGAAGAGCGGGACCGCAGTGTCTTGCGTCTCGCTCCTGAGAAGAAGTCGTGGATGCCTCCCAAATCCGTCATGGATCACTTGTCGGCGACGACGAGTGATCGTTATCGAACACGGTTGTTCGATTCGTCAAGGATCCATCACCCTGACCTCAGCGCGAAAGACTATCGCGCTGAGAATGAATTCTTCATCGATGCTTTCTTTAGACATCGATGGTACAGTGGGAATCACAAACGTGATGGTCCCTCACTACTTCAGGCGTGGAACGCCTACATCCATAACCTCGAGGATGTAGGTCGTGACGCTTGGAACGACAAACTTATCAAAGCTCGTGATAAGTTTGAAAAGCGAACCCCGACAGGTGCACGCTACAAGCTGCATCGTCTGTCAAGGGAGAAAGGATTACCCTGCCTCTCTTGGGGAGACTCGTGCCCATGTTGTGTGAACAACTCTGCACGAGCACCTAAGGAGGCTTACCTCCTTACCAGCCCGTGGTGGCGCGTATGTGTCTCTACTGAGATGTACGAAGGGATTGACAACCTGAAATCCCTTTACAACCGTGCCGGGAAGACTTTCTCTGGCGGTCCTTCTGTGGCACAGGATGTGCCGCGTTGTACTGCTCAACCAGACCCAGTACGTTGATCATCAGTTGGGAACGGGGCTCCCAAGTATCCCAGGACGGGGGATAGCCGCGCCACCGGACGAGATAACTCGTCCGACGCCCGTTCACGTCGCGGTGGTTCAACAGCTGCTCAACTAGATAGCGCTGGCCACCGCGAGAGTCCTCTAATGGAGGTGGAGGAGGAGGAAAGACGCTCTCCACACGATCATGTGTATCGGTGTGTTCCCGAGAGCTTCTTTGATCGCGTAACGCAAGGGTTACGCGACGATCTCGAACATGAGCGGAATAGGCGTCTCCAAATGGCGGACACTGCCTCAAAGCATCGAGCTGAGTTTGCCTTTGCTCAGCTTGAGAACGAGAGAGCTTTGACATCTCTTCGTGACGAGCTAAGGGTAGCTCGTGGGATTGTTGATCGGTCTCGGGCTGAGATAACTGCTCTTCAGACCCTTGTTAATATCCACCATCGGGAGCACAAGGCTCTGCGAGATGCTTGAGCGCAAGGGCGTTCTTCATCGGAAGAAGCAGCGTACCGATGGTACGGCTTAAGCAGACCAACGTAAATCGTGGGATGCGTTCGAATCTTACGTGGCAACTCGATCGTACATGCATTGCCTAGGCGGTGCAATACACGAAATGGACCGATGTACTTGGGTATAAGTTTACTGCTACCCAAGTTAGTCACTACATGCTTTGGTAGATTAACCGTAGACAGTAGGACTAAGTCACCTTTATTAAATAAAAGAGTGTTTGCCCTTCCATTCTTGTCAGCGTTTTGCTTTTGCTTATCCACCGCTTCGGCGATGGAGTCTTGCACAAAACGGACTACCGTTTCACGAGCCAGTATGAATTCATCTGCTGACTCGTTAGCTTCAGTGCGCTGTGAGTGCACTACAGCAACATCAATCGTTTCTTCAGTGAGGGCTTCCTCGCTCTCACTGGCATCATATTCTTCGATATCGATGTTATCGATATCGGCATCAAACGCAATGATCTCATCGTCAGAGCGTGATGAGCGTGAACCAAATCGGTTTTTGCTCGCGCGAGTCTCTCCCCCCTTGAACCAGAGTTACACTCTAGTAAGGTGGGTACACGCGGATGGCGCAAGCCATTCACGTAAAACGGTGTATGGGTCGTGGACGCATGTACCGAGTTGTTAATGGCAAACTCTAACATTGGCAAAAACTCACTCCAACTCTTAAAGGAGTGTACGCATCCTCGAAGTATCTCATCGAGGACACGACTGCCACGATCTGTCTGACCATCTGACTCTGGATGATCAGATGTTGACATCTTCAAGCGCGTTCCGAGTGATTTGAACACGGAACGCCAGAAATCAGCAGTGAATCGTGGATCTCTGTCTGATACGAGTTCACGGGGCAACCCATGAAGTCGGAAGATGGTGTCAATAAAGACACAAGCACAGCCACTTGCCGTGATTGACTCTGGTACAGCCACTAGGTGTACCATTTTGCTGAATCTGTCAACAAATACGAGAATACCCGTATTCCCGCGTGCGTCTTTGGGTAACCCGAAGACGAAATCCATTGATATGGATTCCCAGCACTCAGCCGGAACCGGTAGAGGCTGTAAAGGTGCACGCAGTGAAGGACTTGACTTCACTTGTTGACAGACTTCGCATGCGCGAACATACTTTCGCACAAACTGATACTGGCGGGGCCAGTGAAAGTCTCGACTCACCGTGAGATGTGTTTTCTCCCGACCACGATGTCCTCCTATAAGAGCTTCGTGATACTCGGACATGACCCGCGAACGCAGATCAGTATCATCTGGGATGACAACACGTGGTGTGTCACCAGAAACGGCTGTATAATACAGTAAACCTTTGCGAGTAGTGTTTCGATCTGATGCAGATCGATACGCAGACGACAATCGTTTCAACGATTCTCGAGATGGCTGTGAGAGATGTCTCAACAACTTCACAACCTCACCATCTTGGGCGTATGCCCGCCTCACATCATCATTCAACGTTGAAGATGGGACTGAGGACGTCATAACCGCAACAGTGACTGTCTCACTGTTGGGTTTCACCACTGTTCAAAGTCGGGAAGACGTGAGAGTGCATCAGCAACGACATTATGTCGACCTGGTTTGTAATCGACCGTAAAGTTGTATCCTGCAAAGAATGACAACCACGCCGCCATTCGTTGTGAAAAGTGCGGGATGTTCACTGCCGTGCGTAATGACGCATGGTCAGTGTAAACAATGAAGGGTCTATCTCCTAATAGATAGACTCTGAACTTCGCGAGTGCATACTTCATGGCAAGGAGTTCCTTGTCATGCACTGGATAGTTCCGCTCAGCTGGTTGCAGATGACGCGACTGATAGCAGACGACGCGTTCAACGCCTTCAAGATCGTACTGCATTAATGCACAGCCGATTGCAAAATCGCTGGCATCACAGACCACATGAAATGGCCTGTCCTGATCGGCTATTGCTAGGACTGGGGATTGTATCAAGCTCTGCTTGATACCATCAAAGGAGCGTTGACATTCAGCGTTCCATAACCACCTCTCGTGCTTTTTCAGCAAACGAGAGAGGTGTACAGTCACATCGGCGTAATTGCGTGAATACTTATGCAAATACGCCGCTAGCCCAAGGAATTTTCGAAGACCTTTGACATCAACTGGTACAGGCCAGTCGGTGATCGCCTTAATCTTTTCGGGATCAGGACGTACACCGTTCTTACCAACGATGCACCCAAGAAGTGGTATTTCGCTTGCTGCAAATATACACTTCTTGAGGTTTTCATGCAATTGGTGCTTTCGCATGATTGTAAGAACCTGTCGGACGTGGTATCTGTGAACCTCAACGTCCGACTTTCCATCCATAGCCCGAATATGGATGAATACGTCATCGAAATAACTCGGTGCGAATTCTCGTACTGGTCTCAACAGATGTGATACACATCTGTTGAACGTGGCAGGGGCATTAATTAGACCTTGTGGCATTACTAGCCATTCCCAGATCATGCCGCTAGGCGTGCTCACTGCGATATAGGGTATGTCCCGTTCTCGCATAAGGATTTTATAGAAGCCATCCATCAAATTTATTGACGAAAATATGGTACTCTATGACATACCATCAATGATTACGTCTTTCCTTGGTATCGGCGTCTGAGCCGGTGCCGTTGCAGCATTCAACTTGTAAAATTCATGCACAATCCGCCACCCTCCTGTTGCTTTTCGCACACAGAAGGTCGGAGAGATATGTGGGGAAGTCGATTCCCTCACATGGCCCCAGCTAAACGATCGGCAAAGAACTTGTCGATCGCAAATACTTGTTCACGAGGCAGTGGCCACTGCTTCATGACACAGTACTTCGAGCCTGTTTTAAGCTCGACCTCGTGTCGAATACCTTTATCCTTCGGTAACTCATACGGAACAGTTTCAGGGAATACATCCTTGAATTCAACCAAATCTTCATAGAGAGGATTTGTCTTGAGCGATTCCCACGATTGGGAGTCATATCGCTCAACTCGTGTCTTTTCATCTAGGACACTCTCGTCCATCGTTGAACTACTGAGAACCCTCTCGTTCTCAGTAAACACTGTTGCTGACCTTATGTCGGTTACACACTCGTCGTCAGCGACGAGTACGCAGATCTGCTTGACTTTGCCACTACGCAGATCACGCAAGAACCTTTCATGTTCGAGCGTTGGCAACTGAGTGATCTCCGAAGTCAACTTCGGAGGCGCAATCAGATCAAGTGTATAAGCGCCTACACTTGATCCGTCATTGACTAGGACATTCAATGTCTCTGTCATTTCCTGGGGACTTATTCCCTCAGGCTTCGAAGGACTTATTCCTTCGTCTTCCCGGGGACTTATTCCCGCGGGTTTCGGGGAACTAATTTCCACCGTATTTGTAATATCGGGACTTATTCCCTTAACTTCCTCTAGCTGTGGTTGCGCAACCACAGCGAGATCCTCTACGAAAGACTCTCCAGTCGATCTAGGATTATCGTTTTGCTTAACCTGAGCGATCGATTGTTTCTCTTCTAGATGTTCCCCGCTAGGGATACATCTTTGTCCCGGTCCACTCGACTTATTCGAGTGGTGGACCTTCGGCGCAGCCTGTGTTTCTTCACAGCCTCCGGAACTTTGCTCCGAAGTGTAACGGTTTGTTACACTAAGGTTTTGTGCAGTCGTACTAACGACCGTACTACAAGTGAGGCCATCGCACTCACTCGTAGTACATCCACACGCTTGTGGACGCTCCAAAACGTTCATCAGATGGCCATCTGATGAACAAGCGGCAGGCATCGTTACTGTTCGATGTTGCCAGTTTACTCGTGGTTCGTACCTTCTGAGCCACGGTATTCCAAGGATGACATCAAATTTGTCATCCAAATCCAATACGATAAAGTCATCGTCATATTGGGTATCTTCTAGCGTATAGCGAATCTTCACTATACGCTTCATGACGGTTACGGATGCGCCTGTCGCAAGACGTACCTTCATCCTCGTAGGAGGTGTGTCACATTCACTGAACTTAAAATGACTAACTTCTAGCGATTGGCGTCGCACAAAATTGTTGGACGCCCCACAATCGACTAGAACTCGAAGGGACAACTTATTCGTCACTTCGAGTTTCAAGGTAATGAGTGAGATCTCATTACCTAGAGCAGCAACGCACAACATTTGTGTGTTGGGAGCAACCTTCATCAAGAGGCCTACAAATTCTCTTGACGTTGCTGGACCAGTAGGGTGCTCCGCACCTACTGATCCTGTCCGTTTTTTGACGGTCCATCCCGTTGTTGCGTCTTTGCACCAACAGCGGACCCGCGTCCCTGCCCCTTTCTCATGGGTGGACGGTCACTACGCCCAGTGTTGCGAGACACTGGACGAGGGGCACTACACTCGTAAGCGTAGTGTCCTGTCTTTTGACATCTGTTGCATTTATGCAACTTCTTGTAGTCTGTAGAGCGAGCCTTCTAGCTCTCTACATAACAGAGTTCCATCGGCTTTGGACCTCCGCTGTCATATCGTCTCGGTTGACGATATGATGTCGAGCTGGCGCGAGCCTGTCTCAGACTGAAGTCTTCCTGCTCCGCAATGAAAATGGCTTGTTCTAGTGAGTATAGTTCGAGTCGGAACAGGTGAGTCTTGACGGGACCATCCGCAAGACCCTGCATGAACACCGAAACCAACGTGTGTTCATCCACCGGATTGGAACTTATACAACTCGTGAGATGTCGTATATGTTGCGCGTAAGCGTGTACATCACGCTTACCCTGTTTGAGCTTCAGGATTTCAGTTCGAGCCCTGAACTCAGCTCTAGGCGGTTCAAATGTTTGTCTGAGCCGCGACTTGAAGACTTCCAACGACCCAAACGCATATGGGTCGTGCAACTTGAGTGCCAGTGCCCAAGTCTTGGCACGTCCTGCCAGATTTGACTGGGCAAATGCAACTTGCATATCCCCGTCGTCGATGCGACGCGCCCTTATGGCGTCATCCAATTCGACGAACCATCTCACGAGGGAGTCTTCTTCGACCACCCCTATACTTTGAGATGTCAATCTTCAAAGTCTGGGTCGTCGCTAGTGCATCGACCCACCAGCAGCAGCCTGCTGCTGTCTCAACAGTTCAAACTGTTGAGCACCTTGTTCTCTCAACAACTCTGCTTGTTGAGAACCTTGTTGGTGAAGCAAGGCTATTTCTCGCGTTCAGCGTCAAGTTCATTTTGAATGAACTTGGCGATAGTAGCATGTTGGGCATCTCTATTGAGAGCCTCTAGCATGAAGCTAACAGCATGGATGCCCATGGTCGAACCCATTCGTTCAACCGCATCCCATTCGACATCGCTCAAATAGGAGTAGCCGTCACGCGTAGCGTGAAAGCTTTGGTCATCTTCATCATCCAACATATTCATGTTGGATGTGAACGCGGTCCTTGGACGGACTACGAAGTGCTACCAGGTGTAACGGGGCACCCTGAAGCTTGTACTGGTGACAGTACAAGCTACTTATTCTGATGACAGAATAAGGCGGTGCCTCGTAACTTCACGTACACTCGTACGTGCAGAGGAAGACGGTAGAAGAAGCGAGTACTTGGTTAAAGTAAAAATTAGAACTGTATTTATAATAGTTAATGTCTGCAATAAATCACTATTTATCTTCATCTAACTATGTCTGAATACAAATATGCATATCAATTATCTGCTCACCACTCATTGCGTGCGTCTGTCGTAGCGCGTCTTCGTTGGTTGATATAATGGCCTATATCAACCAATTAGGAACTACTCGTATGTGCTGCGGAATTTGTCCCTATGACAATATTCTGAGAATATAACTCTTATTGTTGTATTCTATCAACAATTTCTAGTAAATTGTTATGTAACGATTCACCCCGTTACATCACCCCCCCTTAACCATCAGTCACTTTAGTGACTGATTGACTAAATGGATACTCGTCCCAAATCATTTGGGACAGGGTTTGCACTTGTTGGTCCGAGTCCACTTTCCAACAATTCATCGCATGGTTAACACGACCATGCGGTGCGCGAGCAAGGCCGCCGAGAGCGCATCCGCACGTCTCTGTGCGGACGCCGAAGCAGAAACTGCAGCAACTGATGTCTCATCGGTTATTATGAACCATCGCCGAAGCGAAGGCGCTCGAGATCGCGACACTCGGGCGCTAACAGTGGTGTCGGTTCTCCTATGGACACCACTACGCAACGAGGTGCGAGTACTTCTGTCGGCACATCGCAGGAAGAGCGGGACCGCAGTGTCTTGCGTCTCGCTCCTGAGAAGAAGTCGTGGATGCCTCCCAAATCCGTCATGGATCACTTGTCGGCGACGACGAGTGATCGTTATCGAACACGGTTGTTCGATTCGTCAAGGATCCATCACCCTGACCTCAGCGCGAAAAACTATCGCGCTGAGAATGATTTCTTCATCGATGCTTTCTTTAAACATCGATGGTACAGTGGGAATCACAAACGTGATGGTCCCTCACTACTTCAGGCGTGGAACGCCTACATCCATAACCTCGAGGATGTAGGTCGTGACGCTTGGAACGACAAACTTATCAAAGCTCGTGATAAGTTTGAAAAGCGAACCCCGACAGGTGCACGCTACAAGCTGCATCGTCTGTCAAGGGAGAAAGGATTACCCTGCCTCTCTTGGGGAGACTCGTGCCCATGTTGTGTGAACAACTCTGCACGAGCACCTAAGGAGGCTTACCTCCTTACCAGCCCGTGGTGGCGCGTATGTGTCTCTACTGAGATGTACGAAGGGATTGACAACCTGAAATCCCTTTACAACCGTGCCGGGAAGACTTTCTCTGGCGGTCCTTCTGTGGCACAGGATGTGCCGCGTCGTAATGCTCAACCAGACCCAGTACGTCGATCATCAGTTGGGAACGGGGCTCCCAAGTATCCCAGGACGGGGGATAGCCGCGCCACCGGACGAGATAACTCGTCCGACGCCCGTTCACGTCGCGGTGGTTCAACAGCTGCTCAACTAGATAGCGCTGGCCACCGCGAGAGTCCTCTAATGGAGGTGGAGGAGGAGGAAAGACGCTCTCCACACGATCATGTGGATCGGTGTGTTCCCGAGAGCTTCTTTGATCGCGTAACGCAAGGGTTACGCGACGATCTCGAACATGAGCGGAATAGGCGTCTCCAAATGGCGGACACTGCCTCGAAGCATCGAGCTGAGTTTGCCTTTGCTCAGCTTGAGAACGAGAGAGCTTTGACATCTCTTCGTGACGAGCTAAGGGTAGCTCGTGGGATTGTTGATCGGTCTCGGGCTGAGATAACTGCTCTTCAGACCCTTGTTAATATCCACCATCGGGAGCACAAGGCTCTGCGAGATGCTTGAGCGCAAGGGCGTTCTTCATCGGAAGAAGCAGCGTACCGATGGTACGGCTTAAGCAGACCAACGTAAATCGTGGGATGCGTTCGAATCTTACGTGGCAACTCGATCGTACATGCATTGCCTAGGCGGTGCAATACACGAAATGGACCGATGTACTTGGGTATAAGTTTACTGCTACCCAAGTTAGTCACTACATGCTTTGGTAGATTAACCGTAGACAGTAGGACTAAGTCACCTTTATTAAATAAAAGAGTGTTTGCCCTTCCATTCTTGTCAGCGTTTTGCTTTTGCTTATCCATCGCTTCGGCGATGGAGTCTTGCACAAAACGGACTACCGTTTCACGAGCCAGTATGAACTCATCTGATGACTCGTTAGCTTCAGTGTGCTGTGAGCGCACTGCAGCAACATCAACCTTTTCTTCAGTGAGGGCTTCCGCACTCTCACTGGCCTCATCTTCTTCGATATCGATGTTATCGATATCGGCATCAAACGCAATGACTTCTTCGTCAGAGCGTGATGAGCGTGAACCAAATCGGTTTTTGCTCGCGCGAGTCCCCCCCTTAAACCAGAGTTACACTCTAGTAAGGTGGGTACACGCGGATGGCGCAAGCCATTCACGTAAAACGGTGTATGTGTCGTGGACGCATGCACCGAGTTGTTGATGGCAAACTCTACCATTGGCAAAAACTCACTCCAACTCTTAAAGGAGTGTACGTATCCTCGAAGTATCTCTTCAAGGACACGATTGGCACGTTCCGTCTGACCATCTGACTCTGGATGATCAGATGTTGACATCTTCAAGCGCGTTCCGAGTGATTTGAACACGGAACGCCAGAAATCAGCAGTAAATCGTGGACCTCTGTCTGATACGAGTTCACGGGGCAACCCATGAAGTCGGAAGATGGTGTCAATAAAGACACAAGCACAGCCACTTGCCGTGATTGTCTCTGGTACAGCCACTAGGTGTACCATTTTGCTGAATCTGTCAACGAATACGAGAATACCCGTATTCCCGCGTGCGTCTTTGGGTAACCCGAAGACGAAATCCATTGATATGGATTCCCAGCACTCAGCCGGAACCGGTAGAGGCTGTAAAGGTGCACGCAGTGAAGGACTTGACTTCACTTGTTGACAGACTTCGCATGCGCGAACATACTTTCGCACAAACTGATACTGGCGGGGCCAGTGAAAGTCTCGACTCACCGTGAGATGTGTTTTCTCCCGACCACGATGTCCTCCTATAAGAGCTTCGTGATACTCGGACATGACCCGCGAACGCAGATCAGTATCATCTGGGATGACAACACGTGATGTGTCACCAGAAACGGCTGTATAATACAGTAAACCTTTGCGAGTAGTGTTTCGATCTGATGCAGATCGATACGCAGACGACAATCGTTTCAACGATTCTCGAGATGGCTGTGAGAGATGTCTCAACAACTTCACAACCTCACCATCTTGGGCGTATGCCCGCCTCACATCATCATTCAACGTTGAAGATGGGACTGAGGACGTCATAACCGCAACAGTGACTGTCTCACTGTTGGGTTTCACCACTGTTCAAAGTCGGGAAGACGTGAGAGTGCATCAGCAACGACATTATGTCGAACTGGTTTGTACTCGACCGTAAAGTTGTATCCTGCAAAGAATGACAACCACGCCGCCATTCGTTGTGAAAAGTGCGGGATGTTCACTGCCGTGCGTAATGACGCATGGTCAGTGTAAACAATGAAGGGTCTATCTCCTAATAGATAGACTCTGAACTTCGCGAGTGCATACTTCATGGCAAGGAGTTCCTTGTCATGCACTGGATAGTTCCGCTCAGCTGGTTGCAGATGACGCGACTGATAGCAGACGACGCGTTCAACGCCTTCAAGATCGTACTGCATTAATGCACAGCCGATTGCAAAATCGCTGGCATCACAGACCACATGAAATGGCCTGTCCTGATCGGCTATTGCTAGTACTGGGGATTGTATCAAGCTCTGCTTGATACCATCAAAGGAGCGTTGACATTCAGCGTTCCATAACCACCTCTCGTTCTTTTCAACAAACGAGAGAGGTGTACAGTCACATCGGCGTAATTGCGTGAATACTTATGCAAATACGCCGCTAGCCCAAGGAATTTTCGAAGACCTTTGACATCAACTGGTACAGGCCAGTCGGTGATCGCCTTGATCTTTTCGGGATCAGGACGTACACCGTTCTTACCAACGATGCACCCAAGAAGTGGTATTTCGCTTGCTGCAAATATACACTTCTTGAGGTTTTCATGCAATTGGTGCTTTCGCATGATTGTAAGAACCTGTCGGACGTGGTATCTGTGAACCTCAACGTCCGACTTTCCATCCATAGCCCGAATATGGATGAATACGTCATCGAAATAACTCGGTGCGAATTCTCGTACTGGTCTCAACAGATGTGATACACATCTGTTGAACGTGGCAGGGGCATTAATAAGACCTTGTGGCATTACTAGCCATTCCCAGATCATGCCGCTAGGCGTGCTCACTGCGATATAGGGTATGTCCCGTTCTCGCATAAGGATTTTATAGAAGCCATCCATCAAATTTATTGACGAAAATATGGTACTCTATGACATACCATCAATGATTACGTCTTTCCTTGGTATCGGCGTCTGAGCCGGTGCCGTTGCAGCATTCAACTTGTAAAATTCATGCACAATCCGCCACCCTCCTGTTGCTTTTCGCACACAGAAGGTCGGAGAGATATGTGGGGAAGTCGATTCCCTCACATGGCCCGCAGCTAAACGATCGGCAAAGAACTTGTCGATCGCAAGTACTTGTTCACGAGGCAGTGGCCACTGCTTCATGACACAGTACTTCGGGCCTGTTTTAAGCTCGACCTCGTGTCGAATACCTTTATCCTTCGGTAATTCGCACGGAACAGTTTCAGGGAATACATCCTTGAATTCAACCAAATCTTCATAGAGAGGATTTGTCTTGAGCGATTCCCACGATTGGGAGTCATATCGCTCAACTCGTGTCTTTTCATCTAGGACACTCTCGTCCATCGTTGAACTACTGAGAACCCTCTCGTTCTCAGTAAACACTGTTGCTGACCTTATGTCGGTTACACACTCGTCGTCAGCGACGAGTACGCAGATCTGCTTGACTTTGCCACTACGCAGATCACGCAAGAACCTTTCATGTTCGAGCGTTGGCAACTGAGTGATCTCCGAAGTCAACTTCGGAGGCGCAATCAGATCAAGTGTATAATCGCCTACACTTGATCCGTCATTGACTAGGACATTCAATGTCTCTGTCATTTCCTGGGGACTTATTCCCTCAGGCTTCGAAGGACTTATTCCTTCGGCTTCCCGGGGACTTATTCCCGCGGGTTTCGGGGAACTAATTTCCACCGTATTTGTAATATCGGGACTTATTCCCTTAACTTCCTCTAGCTGTGGTTGCGCAACCACAGCGAGATCCTCTACGAAAGACTCTCCAGTCGATCTAGGATTATCGTTTTGCTTAACCTGAGCGATCGATTGTTTCTCTTCTAGATGTTCCCCGCTAGGGATACATCTTTGTCCCGGTCCACTCGACTTATTCGAGTGGTGGACCTTCGGCGCAGCCTGTGTTTCTTCACAGCCTCCGGAACTTTGCTCCGAAGTGTAACGGTTTGTTACACTAAGGTTTTGTGCAGTCGTACTAACGACCGTACTACAAGTGAGGCCATCGCACTCACTCGTAGTACATCCACACGCTTGTGGACGCTCCAAAACGTTCATCAGATGGCCATCTGATGAACAAGCGGCAGGCATCGTTACTGTTCGATGTTGCCAGTTTACTCGTGGTTCGTACCTTCTGAGCCACGGTATTCCAAGGATGACATCAAATTTGTCATCCAAATCAAATACGATAAAGTCATCGTCATATTGGGTATCTTCTAGCGTATAGCGAATCTTCACTATACGCTTCATAACGGTTACGGATGCGCCTGTCGCAAGACGTACCTTCATCCTCGTAGGAGGTGTGTCACATTCACTGAACTTAAAATGACTAACTTCTAGCGATTGGCGTCGCACAAAATTGTTGGACGCCCCACAATCGACTAGAACTCGAAGGGACAACTTATTCGTCACTTCGAGTTTCAAGGTAATGAGTGAGATCTCATTACCTAGAGCAGCAACGCACAACATTTGTGTGTTGGGAGCAACCTTCATCAAGAGGCCTACAAATTCTCTTGACGTTGCTGGACCAGTAGGGTGCTCCGCACCTACTGATCCTGTCCGTTTTTTGACGATCCATCCCGTTGTTGCGTCTTTGCACCAACAGCGGACCCGCGTCCCTGCCCCTTTCTCATGGGTGGACGGTCACTACGCCCAGTGTTGCGAGACACTGGACGAGGGGCACTACACTCGTAAGCGTAGTGTCCTGTCTTTTGACATCTGTTGCATTTATGCAACTTCTTGTAGTCTGTAGAGCGAGCCTTCTCGCTCTCTACATAACAGAGTTCCATCGGCTCTGGACCTCCGCTGTCATATCGTCTCGGTTGACGATATGATGTCGAGCTGGCGCGAGCCTGTCTCAGACTGAAGTCTTCCTGTTCCGCAATGAAAATGGCTTGTTCTAGTGAGTATAGTTCGAGTCGGAACAGGTGAGTCTTGACGGGACCATCCGCAAGACCCTGCATGAACACCGAAACCAACGTGTGTTCATCCACCGGATTGGAACTTGTACAACTCGTGAGATGTCGTATATGTTGCGCGTAAGCGTGTACATCACGCTTACCCTGTTTGAGCTTCAGGATTTCAGTTCGAGCCCTGAACTCAGCTCTAGGCGGTTCAAACGTTTGTCTGAGCCGCGACTTGAAGACTTCTAACGACCCAAACGCATATGGGTCGTGCAACTTGAGTCCCAGTGCCCAAGTCTTGGCACGTCCTGCCAGATTTGACTGGGCAAATGCAACTTGCATATCCCCGTCGTCGATGCGACGCGCCCTTATCACGTCATCCAATTCGACGAACCATTTCAAGAGGGAGTCCTCTTCGACTCCCCTATACTTGGAGATGTCAATCTTCAAGGTTTCGGGTCGTCGCGAGTGCATCGACCCACCAGCAGCAGACTGCTGCTGTCTCAACAGTTCAAACTGTTGATCACCCTGTTCTCTCAACAACTCTGATTGTTGAGAACCTTGTTGGTGAAGCAAGGCTACTTTCTCGCTTTCAGCTTCAAGTTCGTTTGAATGAACTTGGCGACTGTAGCATGTTGGGCATCTCTATTGAGAGCCTCTAGCATGACGCTAACAGCATGGATGCCCATGGTTGAACCCATCCGTTCAACCGCATTCCATTCGACATCGCTCAAATGGGAGTAGCCGTCACGCGTAGCGTGAAAGCTTTGGTCATCTTCATCATCCAACATATTCATGTTGGATGTGAACGTGGTCCTTGGACGGACTACGAAGTGCTACCAGGTGTAACGGGGCACTCTGAAGCTTGTACTGGTGACAGTACAAGCTACTTATTCTGATGACAGAATAAGGCGGTGCCTCGTAACTTCACGTACACTCGTACGTGCAGAGGAAGACGGTAGAAGAAGCGAGTACTTGGTTAAAGTAAAAATTAGAACTGTATTTAGCATAGTTAATGTCTGTTAATAAATCACTATTTATCCTCATCTAACTATGTCTGAATACAAATGTGCATATCAACTATCTGCTCACCACTCATTGCGTGCGTCTGTCGTGGCGCGTCTTCGTTGGTTGATATAATGGCCTATATCAATCAATTAGGAACTACTCGAAAGTGCTGCAGAATTTGTCCCTATGACAATATTCTGAGAATATAACTCTTATTGTTGTATTCTATTAACAATTTCTAATAAATTGTTATGTAGCGATTCACCCCGTTACACGGTGAATCGTAATACCTTTGGAACCGGGATTGTCAAGCTTGTACGCTCGATCGATTGTACAACGTTGTTAGTTTGTTATATTGAAGAGACTCTTTGAGTCCAAGACTTCCTATGTTAAGGAGCGATAAGTAGCTCCGCTACACTTGGTAGCGCTTGTAGTCAATCAATACCTGAGTATTCACAGACTGGATCCTCTGCGAGGATGGAAAAGGGCATGAACATCTCTGAGGCCCAACAGATCACGCTTGAGAATCTCAAGGCGTCGATCGGGCATGGGCAAGTGGCTCTTATAGTGTCGCGAGGCCCGGATGCACTTCGTGGACATCTCCAGGCCTCTTCAAATTTTGAGTCCACGTTGGTTGGACAGGTTCATGACCATTTGGCGTCTGTCATGCCCACTGCATGTCCCAATACCAGGTACTGAGTCAAGAACTAGTCCTCTAGTCTTAAGTGTCAAGACTTTCGAGGGGAAAGAGGGGAAAATCTCCTTTCGTGGGTTCGAGAGATGGAGGTTGCGATCATCTCGGCCTTGCTGCGATCAGAGCAGCAGAAGTGGGCATGGCCCCATCAAAGTTAGGTGGCCGATCCAGGGAGTGGTCCTTCACTTCTAGCACCTCTATAGACGAGGCTTTTCCCACCTGGTACATTCTAAAACAGCAACCATCTCGGGTGTTTTCCCCGCCTGATCAGACATATCGCGTGCGATCACGCTTCCTGCCAACCCGCCAGGGTAAGAAGGATTTGGTTGATTATGTCCAAGGGTTGCGGACTCTCATTGCTGCTATGAACCTGACCCTTGACCTGAGACGGTTTTGGTAACCATGTTTATGGAGGGTCTTCACACTGGTGTTGCCAGAACAGAAGTGTTTCGTACACAACATTTGAGGGTGCAGTGGATGTAGCATTGAACGCAGAGTTCAACTTTAAAGCTTCCCGCTACGGAACACATAGGTTCCAATCGAGCTCGTCGAGCAATGCTCATCTTATGGATAGGGCAGAGCCCATGGACCTTAGTTTAGCTGAGAAGACGAAGAAGCTGAGCTTTACGCTGTCGAACAGCGTTCGAACATCCGTAGATGTCTTACGTGCGGAAGCATCAAACACCTTCAACCCAATTGTCCTTTGAGAAGGACCCGACAGGCTGATTCTAGCCAACCTCCCGTCGCTAACCAACGAGTTTTTAAATCGCGGGAAAACATCGAGTCCCAGTAGGCTCGGGACGCCCTGCTGGGGAGGATTTAGGCTCTGTTGTACCTCTGGAGGTGATGGAGAACAGAGCCTATCCCCAAGTAGCTTCGTGATCAATGTCACGAAGCATGTGTACAATCCAGGCTTGTTAGTTGCGAAAGAAACAGTAAAGGGCTTTGATAATCCATGGTCGATATTGATCCACTCCGGGGCGTCGGGAAATTACGTCCGACGTTGTTCCCTGAAGGATAGTCAGCAGTATGCTGAGGTGCTGAAATTGCGAAATAATGAGACTATCAATGTTCGCTTAGCGACAGGTGCATTAGTCACTGTGCCTAAATTTCCTGTGAACTTAGGCGTGAAGGACTTTGAAAGTATTGAATGCTGTCTAGTCCTTGAATTGGATGAGAGGTATGATCTTATCCTTGGTCTGGCTTGGCTAGAAATCCATGAGCCATGGATTGATTATAGGTCAATTAACTTAGACGCAACGCGAACTGTTTCCTATTGGAACTTTGGAGAGTCATCACGCCACATCTGCTAGGAGACAGAAACGCTATTGGCGCGAGTCACGGACTGAGACAGTCAGTGTGCTGGACATCGATATAGCTGAACTCGTTGGGATGGACGATGTTAAAAACATTAGTTATGAGCCAAGCTCAATGACCGTTAGTGAGAAGAAACGTGCTCCGTCGAGTGATAATCGTTGTGATAACGAATCACTATATGCTGAATGCATTTTTGGCCTAGAGCCAAGTCATCATGGGTTGAAACCATCTGGTGAGCGTGGAGTGGTACGTAAGTACCCACTGAATGATGTTAGCTGTAATTGCGACACACTGAATACTGTCAGGACATTGTTGGTGGAGCACCAAATCATCAAGGGCAACGCCGATTTAATCAGCGTGGAGTGGCACGTAAGTACCCACTGGGTGGTGATCTCACTGGAAGTGACTCGACACTGGATGTCCGTAATGACATCGGATTGTAAATAGATCAAATAAGGTTGACGCGGTTCGTCATCCTGGGGACAGGTAGTCCCAGATGTGGGCAATGACATCGGCCCTGATGTTGGGCAAATTAAGGTCGACGTGGCTCGTCACCTCGGGGACAGTTTCGTCCCAGATGTCAATAATGACATCGGCCCTGGTATTCGGCAGATTATTTTTGACGCACTCCGCCACCTTGCATTTGACATACCTTGATGCATGACAAGTCACTCTTAAAGCATTCGCATTGGAGTACAAACCTCTGTGAGCGGAATATCGCTCGCACGCATAAGCAATTATTTTTTTTGTCGACCAAGTCGTGTGCACTGAACATAATGCAACATATTATCGCGTTCCTAAAAACGTCCTTTCTGGGATAAGTATCTGTTGCGGTAAAGTGGCTGTGTTAAGCTTATTGTAAGCATGCAGAATGTGCCTTTTTCTACTTGGCTATTTGGCTTCCTAACACAAAATGCTGGCGTTGAGTGCGGAACCTTACTATCACGCACCATGCCAGCCGCGTACTTTGCACAAAAGAACTTGTCAATATCATCACACTGCTTCTTTAGTAGGGGGCATTGCCGTGTCACACAGCATTTGGTTATAAGAATTAGGTCAGGTTGGTGACGTACTCCTCGATCAGGAGGAAGAATGGAAGGTATATCGCGACGCTTCACATCCTGGAAAACCTTATTCAAAAGATAGAACGGGTCTCTAGGATCTTTCAAGATCGATGACCCACTGCCGCCTTTGTTCAGTGCCGCCTTTGTGTCTTCCAAGACATTCTTGTCAAGAAGTGACGACGAGTCCAACTCAATATCGAATCGAATAGCCACAACTTTAGATAAGTCACCTGACTTTAATTCAGGACAAGCCAAACTCACCGAAGACTTTATGTTAAAATCTAATAGAGTATTCAGTGAGGGTGGAGACTCAAAACTCACTGTTGCATCTACGTCGCCAGTCACTCTATTAACGAGTGAATATAGCTGCTCGCTAGTATTACTCAGTGATATAAGAGACGCCTTGCGTTGCATAGCATTACTATACCGTTACCGTAGTCTATGTGACGAAACAGAATGTTTAAAGAGACTGAAACTGTTCTGCTTCCAAGGTTGATTGCATCATCATTAATAACTTGCTATGTACAAGAGCCAGTGTCATTACCGACACCCGAAACATCGACTTACCCAAGATTGAAATTAAGGTCATACCTAAGTTGCTCATACCGAGCCGGTATCAATATCGACATTTGGGATAATACCGCCCCCGAGGTGACGGAGTGCGTCAAAAATAATCTGCCGAATACCAGGGCCGATGTCATTATTGACATCTGGGACGAAACTGTCCCCGAGGTGACGAGCCACGTCGACCTTAATTTGCCCAACATCAGGGCCGATGTCATTGCCCACATCTGGGACTACCTGTCCCCAGGATGACGAACCGCGTCAACCTTATTTGATCTATTTACAATCCGATGTCATTACGGACATCCAGTGTCGAGTCACTTCCAGTGAGATCACCACCCAGTGGGTACTTACGTGCCACTCCACGCTGATTAAATCGGCGTTGCCCTTGATGATTTGGTGCTCCACCAACAATGTCCTGACAGTATTCAGTGTGTCGCAATTACAGCTAACATCATTCAGTGGGTACTTACGTACCACTCCACGCTCACCAGATGGTTTCAACCCATGATGACTTGGCTCTAGGCCAAAAATGCATTCAGCATATAGTGATTCGTTATCACAACGATTATCACTCGACGGAGCACGTTTCTTCTCACTAACGGTCATTGAGCTTGGCTCATAACTAATGTTTTTAACATCGTCCATCCCAACGAGTTCAGCTATATCGATGTCCAGCACACTGACTGTCTCAGTCCGTGACTCGCGCCAATAGCGTTTCTGTCTCCTAGCAGATGTGGCGTGATGACTCTCCAAAGTTCCAATAGGAACAGTTCGCGTTGCGTCTAAGTTAATTGACCTATAATCAATCCATGGCTCATGGATTT